AAATTATTAGATTTGTATCTCAAATTCAGATTTTTAAACCTAAGATCTCTTTTTGCTAATATCATTGATGATTAGAATTGGTTATTATCTGATGATATTAGGTTTCAAAGCTCTATTCTTGAAAGCTTCAAACCATGAAGCTTTCATGGTTTTCCTATTTTTCTTCTTACTTGTACCTTTAATGATTATATCTGGCTCTATATTTGTAAAAATTCAAAAGAGCTCAGGAATGATTATTGAAAATTTCGATCTTCCAAATGGCAGACAATGTACATTTGACAGCAAAAAAAAGGAACAAAAGTTCATCTGCTACAAACTTATCCAGGATCTTGCAATTAGGCAATAGAGACTCAAATTATTTTAAATGTTTTTCAACATACATAGCACTTTGGGTGATAAAATATATTTTTTATTTCAAATTAGTCTTTGAGAATAATATAATATTTTCAGGGTCAAAATGGATGCACAAGGATTTTTTTAAATTGAATAACTAGAAAACCTTGCCAATTACAATTTCAATATTATCTTTTTTATTAAACAAATGAAAGTTTCTAATTTTATATTTAAGGTTATTTTAAGTGACATATCATTTTAACTCTTGCCTATATTTGTTTTTAAAATACAGTATGTATGTTACCCATAGAATCAATGCAATTTGGAAGTTTACTTGGTTTCAAAACAGTTATAAATGCATGAATAAATTATTAGATATATTTTAGACATGTTCAATTGACACTTTAAGATTAACTTTATTAAATTAATGACAAGTAATGATCTTCCTGGATTTCTAAGTCTCCGTGTTCATTATATAATTAACTCCTTCACTACTTAACCAAAAACAGTATGAAAGATGTTTCACAGTTGATCAATCTTTTATTGTAACTCTTGATCACAGTAATATTTATTACTGTTTTTGAATGTTGAGAATTTTAGTTACTTTAAAAACTTTTTAAACTATGCTATATTTAGACAAATTTCCCTAAAACTTATTCAATGAAGATATGAAACCCGAGGGTAGTAGGATTTCAAAGTTCATTCAGCATATTAATTTTTTTATTCAATCATTGAAATAAATTATTCATAATTGAGACAGAAATTAAATATAGCAAAATTATTTTTAACATATCTGACCAAGATAATTATTTTATTTAAAATAATTATATAAAATTATATTCACTCATTGCTTTCTTCTAAAAATTATTAAAAATTTAAGAAAAAGTAGGATTTGCCAATTTTCATTATTAAACATTACTCTGAGAAAAACAATCTTGGTAATGATCCCTAGTTTCTGGTGGCTATTTTCTTCTTTAATTGTAGCTGTGGAGAAATTGAATAACTTAGATTGTTAAAATATGAAGAGTATTCATTATCAGCTACTAATAGTCTTACTCCATAAATAAATTTATTCCATAAATAAAGTGACTTCATGTGTACCTGAATAGCTGCTTCTGCTGCCTGCCATTTACCTAATGCTAATTTTAGATTACAGGAAAAGGACACCTAACCTTTAATATGAAGGGTTCTTGCTTCTTTATATTAATCATCAGTTTTAGCTCCAGTTCTAAATTGTGGTATTCTTCCTCCTCTTGTTTAATCTCTGTCGACAGAATTTGTGTCCCACTCAAGGAACTGTATTCTGACCCAGAGCCACAAGAAAACTGGATATGATAAAATACATGTCTAATATTGTACTTTTGTTTCTTTTACTTTAATTTTTGGCCGTGTTTATTGTTCCTTCTAGTATGATATGTGATCCACCAAGGCCAGGCCTTTGTCATCATTTCATTTTCAACACAAGGGTTGGCTTTAAGAAGATATTCACATAAAATTAATCTTAATGATTTACTGCAAAACAGAGAAAAAACACATAGTCCTATAATACAGGCATTGATCAATCTCATTGAGAAATGACTCTAAATGAGATTTTCTAAACATTTTGCAAATATAGTCATTGGAGTATTTGATTGTATTTATGTAAAATTTATAGTTTAATTTGGAATTATTTTCATCTTTAAAAGACTGTGTGTTCTCAACCACGTATGATCATGTCTCTCAAAATTTATACTTCCCTCTTGTGTCCAAATGAAAATAATTTTAGAAATTTTTGAAACCATATATGTAGGTGACTTGCAAAAAAGAGGTTTTCCTTTATACTGACTGAAATAAAAGTAAATCAAAGCAAAATATTTATAGGAATCAATATTTTTTAAAAACATAAATTTTAAATCCCTTCTCATAAAATGAATAGTAATAAATGGCAGGTTTACCTATTTGAAGGAAGGGATTGTTATTTTTAGAGTATAGGTATGTAAGATTGCTTTTACGTAGTCAATCTCTAGATGCTAACACATATGAAAAAGACAGTGGGAATGCAAGAGAGAAATTATTAAAAGAAATAAAAAAGAAAATTATGAAGATCAGCTACCACGTAGTCCAGTATATGTATTTTGATAACTAACAGATGCATGCGATTAATATAATATATATTCTTACTTTTTCAACTGAGTAACAGGGGTTATGAAGTTTTTGTTTGAATGTAGGTAGCTGATATGCATGTGTGTTTGTGTGTGAAAGAGAGAAAGAGAGCAAGAGAGAGAGACAGAGAGAGATGGTAGTGTCTAAATAGGAGGAATGAATAGGTTATTAACCATAGTTCTGTGCTATCCAGTGCTCCCTATCTAATATTTTATTGCATTTCATGCAACAGTTTGGAAACATTGTACTATCTTGTCTTTAAAATATGAAAATTAAAATAAGTAAACTATTTTTCTATAAAACTAAGATCTTAGGTTCCTATAAAATATTAAAATATATTTAGAAATTTGGTTTCCCAGTGATGTAAAAGAAATTTTAAAAGCTGCTTGTAAGTCTACTTGAAGATCAGAAGTAGACAGCCCAGGAATTCAGCCATTTCCATGTTTCCGGGACTGAGTTATATGAAAGGACTCTTTTCTAAGTTGTCTGAAACAATGGCATATTCCCTCAGTTCCCTATATGTCTACACAACCTGAATAATTTGTTCACACAACGAAAGACTTTTTTCTAGATTTAACCAGGGTTCCGACTTTTACTTTCCATTTTAAAGACATTATTAACTAACTCCAGATACCTAAACTGACATAAAGAATTCCCCAAGGAAGAAGTTTAGAAGTAGCAGCAACCATAGAGAGCATCAAGTCCCACCTCTCATTTACTTGAGCAAATTTCTGGCTGCAGTAGAAAACAAATGGAAAGTAAATGAGTAAATATATACAGAAATGAAACAGTCAGCCCAAGCAAAGCATACCCTCTTGCCCCCAATTTCATGGAAATAAGCTCCCTGATTTCATTTGGTAGCTTGGCTGTAGTGCTGCTGCAAGTTACCAACTGCAGCTCTTTAAATTGCTTGTTGCCTTCCTCATTGCTGATAGCACAGAAGGATGGTGCACGTGAGTTTATATTTGCTGTTTAAGACTTTTGCTCACCTGTGAATCCCCTGTAATGGAGCACTTCTAGTATGAGGAAAAATGTATTTTTAATGTATCCATTTTGATTTTTAACTGAATTCCTATCACATGATAAAATATGTAATATATCCACATGTCATGTATCTTAAAAGAAACTTATTGGCATTCTATCATTCAGAAGAATTTGTTGAATGAAAGTTCAATATTGTATCTCTGGTGGAATCAAATAGAAATATTAATCAATCTGATTTGCCAGTCAGGTGGAGTTGGCAAGTGGGCAAGATGAATTAGTGATGAAGTCTGAGGAGCTTTATAGACCTACAGCCATGTGTTGCTTAATGGTAGGGATACTGATCCTGGGCTACACATCTGTATAGCACATTACTGGACTGGATACTGAAGGCAAATGTAACACAATGGCAAGTATTTGTGTATCCAAACCCACCTAAACACAGAAAAGGTGCAGTAAAAATACAGCATGAAAGACGAAAAATGGTATAGCTATATAAGGCGCTTACCATGAACTTGCAGGACTACATGAGTTGCTCTGGGTAAGTCAGTGAGTGAGTGGTGAGGGAACGTGAAGGCCTAGGACATTACTACACTGCTCTCGGCGTTACAAACACTGTACACCTAAGCTACCCTAAATTTATTCAAAAAATCATTTCTTCAATAGTAAATTAACCTTACTGTAACTTTTTTAATTTATAAATTTTTAAATCATTTTTTGACTTTTTGACTCCTTTGTCATAATGCTTAATTTAATATACAAACACACTGTGTACATCTGTACAAAAATATTTTCTTTCTTTATACTCTTATTCTGTAAGCTTTTTTTCTATTATTAAAACATTTATGGGCCGGGCTTGGTGGCTTACCAGCTGACCAAGAGCTAGACCCTGTCTCTACTAAAAAAATAAAAATTAGCTGGACAACTAATATATAATAGTGTATGAGGTATTATATATATTATATTATATATATATATTAGCCAGGCATGGTGGCGCATGCCTGTAGTCCCAGCTACTTGGGAGGCTGAGGCAGGTGGATCGCTTGAGCCCAGGAGTTTGAGGTCACTGTGAGCTAGGCTAATGCCATAGCATTCTAACCTGGGTAACAGAGTGAGACTCTGTCTCAAAGAGAAAAAATAAGAAAAAGAAAACATTTATGTATTTATTTATTTATGTTACTTTTTGGTTAAAAACAAAGATATGAACACACACATTAGCCTAGGACTACACAGGTTCTATAAAAATATATAGAAAATATTTTCTGGGCATGATGGCACATGCCTGTAGTCCCAGCTACTCGGAAGGCTGAGGCAGGAAGACCACCTGAGCCTAGGAGTTTGAGGTTGCTATAAGCTAGGCTGTTGCTACGGCACTCGTTCTAGCCTGGGCAACAAAGTGAAACTGTCTCAAAAAATTAAAAAATAAATAAATAAATAAAATAAAATCATGCTTAAATAAATTATGATATATTAATAGAGTGGACAAGTACCCATATATTAGTGTGGTATGTAAAATTCCAAAATGACCCACCAAAGTTCCCTACCTTTATCTCCAGGACTGTGAATAAGATGAGCCATCACACACATAGTTGCCAATGGCTGGAGGGGGGAAAATGTAGAGTTGCTATTCAACTAATGAGTAAGCAACAGTTCTCAATTATACAATGTGAATAAGTTCTAGGGACTCGTTATTCAACATTGCATCTATAGTTAGCAATACTATATACTACACTTAAAATTTTTTTTTATTTTTATTTTTTTTTATTTAGGCATATTATGGGGGTACAGATTTTAAGGTTTCAACAAATGCCCTTTCCCCCCTCCCCCCATAAGTCTGAGTTTCCAGCATGACCATCCCCCAGATGGTGCACATCTCACTCATTATGTATGTATATATCCACCCCTTTTCCCCCTCCCCCCTGCCCAATACCCTATTACTGTAGTACCTATGTGTCCACTTAGGTGCTGCTCAGTTAATACCAGTTTGCTGGTGAATATATGTGGTGCTTGTTTTTTACACTTAAAAATTTTTAAGAGAATATATCTCAACATTTCTTATAATTAAGCAACATTAATGTTTCCTATCAATAATTGGATTAAAGTCATACATTTATTTTTGTATTATCATTTTCATGATACATGATATATCATTAACTATTATACCACATATAATAGTTAATTTGGAATACTTTAACTATTATACCACATTAAGTTTGATACATTAACTATTATACCACATTGTTTCCTTGAAATCATGATTATTAATTGTATTAGATTTTTATCACTGTGTAAAAAATTACTACAAATATAGTAGCTTACAACACCACCCTTTATTAGCTCACAGTTTTATAGGTCAGAAATCTAGGCATGTTCAATGGTGTTGTCTGCTTAGAGTTTCCCAAGACTAAAATCATCGTTCTTGTTAGAGTGGGCTCTTATCTGGGACATTGTGAAAGAATTCACTTAATGAGATCATAGAGGTTGTTTTTATGACTCACTTTCTTGGAATTATAGGACTGAGGTACCTGTTTCTTTGCTGGCTGTTGGCCTAGAGTCAACTCTCAGTTCCTAGAGGGCCCTGTCCCATCCTTGCACATGACCATCTCCATCTCCATGCCAGTGGAACACAAGGAATCTTCTCTGCTTTTGCATATCTTCTATTTTCCCTAGGCAACTAGCTAAGAAAAACTCTAAAAGATTTCCTGTGATTAGATTGGGCCCATTTGCACACTATCCCATATAATTAACTCAAAGTCAATTGACTTGTAACTGTATTAGTAAGTGCAATTTTTTTTTTTTTTTTGCCATATAATCTGGAATAGAAGTTCCTAGGTAGTGCTTTTGTGTAGAACACAGCTCTTCTCCCACTTCACCGCATTCCCCTGTGGTTGTCAGTCCAAGCCAGTGCTGGAGGACATTCATTTGGATTAATGCGTTGGTGTCCAGGCTGTTGTTGGAAGTTAAGGTAGAAAACTGGGCAAGTCCTGCTCAATGGAGGTGGGTGGTGTGACCTTGGTGAGTTACTCTGTGAGTTGCAGGACCTTGCAGGTGTTTGAAAGCATCACAGGATGTAGCTGGTAGTGAAGTACATTGCAGGACCTTGGCGGGCACTGACTGTGTCACAGGAGTGCAGTCCATGGCAAGGAGGGTCACATGACCTTGGCAAGTGCCTGGGCACATCACGGGACCCTGGCCAATGCTTAACAGGTCGCAGAACCTTGGCAGGTGCCTGGGTGCATCAAGGGAACTTGTTGGGCTCTTGGGTGGATCATGGGACCCTCTTGTTCATTCAGATGGATCAGAGGGCCTTGGCTGGCACCTGGGTGGGCTGTGGGATGTAGGCAGGTACCTGAGTGGGTTGTGGGACCCTAGCAGGTACCTAGATGCATCACAGGACCTTGACAGACACCTGGAAAGGTTTTGAGGCCTTGGCCAGAGTTTGGGTCAATGGCTCCTAATGCCGCAGCAGCTGGGTCACCTGCAGCTTGCAGGGCTGGTGAGATACAAGGTTCCTTACTGGGGAGTTACAGTGGCTGGGGCTCTTCTTCCACCCAGGTCTGACTGTGATAGTTGCAGTGGTGCTACTCAGGTGGCAGTGGTGGCACTATTGAAATTGCGAGATGGCAGTGGCAGATGCTGAGGACGGTGATGCCTGCTCTGCTCAGATCCATGGAAGGTTGCCAGTAGGAGGAGTTGGGGGTTATATGCGTGGCACCCAGACACAGTGCATGTGAAAGAAGCTCCGTCTCCACTCCCTCCCAGGCATGGCAAGGGTAATGGGGAAGTGACTACAGCAGAGCCTACCTCTCTGCATTATGGGTGCTTGAGGTTGAAAGAGTAGAATGGCCTTTGTTGTAGCAATCTGAGAGCAGAAGCTGGGGGGATCCCACTGTGCCCACACTCTGGTGCAATGCTGCTGTATAGTCTCCAAGAAGGTCTCTGATCAGTTCACAGGCCTGCTGTGGTGGGGGAGCCCCCTCATAGCTTGGGTTGTAATCTCTGCTGGAGGAGTGCAGAGCCCTGGAGATCTCTCCCCTATTCCTTCCCCACATATGTATGCTTCCCCCAGGTACCTTCCCATCTTGCTGAGCAGATCACCCTGCCTCTCTCTCCCATGCTTTGGGTGTCTTTAGTCACTTCTCTGATGATTTACAATGCTTTCTCCAAGGCAGTCCACCCACGGGTGAACCTCTACCTGCAACCTTTCATTCTCTCCATGAGAGTGGTACGTGCAGGCATTTTCTAGTCTGTAATCTTCCCAATATTTCCAACTTACTATGGCAACACTGTCACAAGTGGAGGAGCATCTGTATTTCTATACCCTACCACCTACCATTTAATCATAGGCTAAGAAGTTATTTTTCTTAAATAGATATCCGAAGCCTTCCATTGTCCAGAACTTGACTCTTACGGTTCGTTTTTTGCCTCACTCCTATTCTGACTCTGTGCTGCAGCCATACTGAATACTCAGAGTTCTTTGGAAATATCCCAGATCTTTTGCCCTTTACCTGGAATGCTTACCCAAACCTCTTCCACCCCTCCTCTCAACTTTCTAAAATCTCCCTTTCATCTCTGAGATTTTGCCTAACCAGGTGTTCTTGTCTAACCCTAACTTCCTATTAGCTTCCTGAAAGAATTGGCGCTCCCTCCTTTGTACTCGAAGTCACACTGGGCATTGCATAGCTTAAGTGAACTATACAGTGCTAAATGCACCCTGGTTGGAGAAGAAATGAACTACCCAGGCCCTGTGGAGATTGTTCCTTCTCCCATTTTCTTGGGGTTATTTCCCTGGCCTCAATAGTTTCTTCACAAATATGTTGATCAGTACTTAGCTGAAAATTTAATGTGAACCCTATTCAGGTATCTATAACTTTGTCTCTGTTGAGCTTTGTACCTCCTGGTACTTTGCCTTAACAATTCTGATCCCCTTAGTTTTCCTAAACAATGACCTTTGTATCCTCAAGTCAGGTAGTTATAGAGTTTAATAACTCTGCAAGTAGGAATCTGGGACAGTTGTGGGGCTCACTTTAGTTATTTTACTTCTTTGGGGGATCATTCTCCTGAAATGCCCATTGATCAATGTCTGAAAACCATTTCCTTATATATATGTGTGCTTCCTTATTTGTTTAAGTGGGATGCTTAATTTCATCCTTCTTACTCAAAGATTCCCCTGGAAGCAGATGTTTGTTGCCTTTAAGTATTTTCAGATTTTAGTAGAACAATATCTAAAAAGCAAAACAGCATTTTCAGCTCTGTCAAGGCTATGAGCAGGCAAAAGATCTTAAGAGAATATAACCAGAGAAATCAAATGAAAATTATGGAAATAAAAATTCAATAATTAAAATTATGGGCTCAATAGGTTAATTCAGCAGGATGTGGAACAGAGGAAAAAGAGTATTCATGACCTGGAAAATAGTGAAGTTGAAACACTGATGGATAAAATAATTAAAATGTATAGTGTAGAGCTTAAGAGATTTTTGCGATAAACTGGAAAGGTTTAACAAACAAGTAAACCAAAGTCTTAGAAATGAAAAAAAAAAAAAATGGGACAAAAGTAACCAAAAGGGGTGATACATGCTATCTATGCTTTTATTTAGCTGAGTATGTATAGAGTATGCACTTATATTTTGTCATATGTTCATATACTCTCTATTAAAATAAGGTATATACATTCCAAAGTTTAGGAAGAATAAGGATGTGTGAGTCCTTAGATAAAAAATTATACTCTGAGCACTGAGCTAGATAAAATAAATTTCTATCCAGAATATGATACTTCTATAAAATAGAGTTATTTTATAAGTGGACTGGGAATGCTCTATCCTTATCTTTGGGGACCTCAGAATTTCCAGCTTAGACTCTTGGCCAAGATAAGGGCAGTGGGGTTTATAGCATACTTTTTAAGTCTGTAACTCTCCTGGCAACCTCCAGGGCCATTCTGTTTACTGACAGTTTTCACCCAGCGTAATTGGTTAGACAGCTTGGCTTGACTAGAGAGGCATAAATGACTCCACTGGGAACTTCTGCCTTGAGCTTTCCTGAAGCACAGATTTTGGTGAATGAAACTGGAGAAATGTGTCCATCTATGAGTAAGGGCCCTACTACATTTACACCTAAGTCTTTCTAAGACGTCCAATGCTCTCCTGCATTCTCCCTCTCTTGCTGTACCTTACAACTTTAATGAAAAGTCTTAGGTGTACATACTCTATGGACACTTGTGAGTTTTTTCAAACATACAAACTTGTAACATGTGGGAATAGTTAAAATATAAGACCTCAAAGATGATGTGATAAAACAAAAATGAAAGTACCAATGAAAACAGACAGATGAAGACCATGTTTGACTGGTAACTACTCCCTTGTCACAAACAGTAGAAATTAGAAGTTAAATATGGTATTTAACATGATAAAACATGCTTCCTAGACTTATATAGAACAACTTATTTTTAAGGTGCTGAGTAAATTAAGACATTTTCAAATGCAAAGACCAAGTGATTTTTCTCTATCTACATTTACTCTAAGAAACACTAGAGAATTTTCAGAACAAAAGTGAACCCAGGAAAATGGTATCAACTCAAAAAGGAAAAAAAGTAATGAGCATACAACTATGCTACAAATATTAATAAACTCAACTATTAACTGAAAAAATGAGTATTTTTATTTTGGAAATATTAAACAATATGAAGACAATGTATATAATAATGCTAAAGTCCTTTACTATTAGAAAGCAGTAGACATTATTGAATAGGTAATCTTTTTAAAAATATAAGAAAACATATTTGTTAAAAATGTTACTTAATTTAAATAACAAATGTGCTATTCATGTAACATGTAAAATGTGATTTCTGTTTTTTGATACAACTTTAAACATATGAAATCTCCAGGTGAATGAATCAAGTATTATATTAAAAAATTAAGTAGACCAAAAGAGACTTAGAGATAAATATTTTTAAATAATAAAGTGGCACTTTGAACTATTGGTTTTGTATTTGAATACTTAGTTAAAACATATTTATCTAGAAATAACTTATTGCTAGTGCTTCAAAAAGTAATAGAAATCATAAAGAAATAAATATTAAATAAATTGCAAAGAAATAAAATATTCTTGCTTTTATGTCTACCATTTATTTTTACATGTTAATTTGATGTTTTTCCATCTGTTTATTTTATCTGCAATTTCCTTCTTGGAAATTGATTTATAGTTCTTTTTGTAGACATTTTCCACCCCCTTTGTTAAATATAATCCTAGGTATTATATTTTCTTTGTAGTTCTTGTGAAAGGTATGGAGTCTCTGATTTGATTATCAGCATGACTGTTGTTGGTGCATAGGAATGCTACTGATTTGTGTACATTGATACTGTAGCCTGAGACTTTGTTGAATTTATTTATAAATTCCAGGAGTCTCTTGGTGGAATCTTTGGGGTTTTCCAG